TATATATATATATATGGATCCGTTTATTTCAAGAGTAAATTTATTTAGAATTACTTCATTTATTAACTCGTGTTCTATATCAAATCTTAATAAACCAACAGTTGAATTTAAAGTTCTTAATGCATAAATTAAATCTATAAATTTTTAAAAATTTGAAAATCATGTAATACTTTGTTTTATTAATTCAAATCAATGTATAAAATAATTTTATAATTATCCATTAATTTAAATTAATGAAATGAATATTAAATAGTTTTTAAATTTTTTAAAAATTTAAAAATTTAATATATGCATTAACAACTTTAAGTTCAACGATTGAATAGTTAAAATTTATATAAAATATAAATTATTGAACAAAATAAATTTAAGTAGATTTACTCTTAAAATAAATGAATCTCTTATATATATATATATGAGGAGGGTTCAAACGACACCGATGTAACTTTTACTAAGTGTTACACCGTTCAATAACTTTATATTAAATGTGAATTTTGAAAATCCAACCGTTAGATTGAAAGTTCATATCTCTTAGATCATATATGTCAAATTTTATATTAATCTAAGATGATTTGATACTTCATTCTCATAAAACAAAATTGATGTAATATATACATTTCAAAATATTCTAAAATATGAACACTTTGATTACCTTCAAGTTGTTGTTTAATTTTAACAAAATTTGACATATATGATCTAAGAGATATGAACTTTCAATCTAACGGTTGGATTTTTAAAATTCACATTTAATATAAAGTTATTAAGCGGTGTAACACTTAGTAAAAGTTACACCGGTGTCGTTTGAACCCTCCTCTATATATATATATATATATATATATAAGTGTTTAGTGTTTAGAGAAAGTAGGGTGTGACATGTGTGAAAGAAGATGTTTTTGATCGATGAAAGGTAGTTGTTGTTGCTATGGAACATGTCACACATTTCTACTATCACCAAAGGCCGTGGTCAAGACTCTTCCACCTCAATGCCAATTAAAAGTCACAACTTCAAATGTCAAATTTCATTAAATACTCCCAACAAATAACCATCATCCACATGTCTTCTAACCACGCTTCTCTCTCTATATATTATGTAAAAATATAATTGTTGCAATCTCTATGTATAAAAGCTATATTTGTAATAAAAAAATATATTATAAATTATATCATCATTCAATATGAAATGTTATTATGAATTAATTATTTATATATTGTCAATATATAAAAAAATTTATACTAACAATTATCTTTTAATTATATCATGTCATTGTTAAAAGTAAATGTGTTTATAATTATATAGTATAATTAAAAGATATAATTAATTATTAGTGTAAAAAAACTTTATATTAATGATATATAGGTAATTAACTTTATAATTATATCCTAAAATTTCATAAACCTTTTCATAGTCTGAAAATCCAAAACGTACATTTTTTTAAGAGTTGCATTTATTTCAAAAAATTATTCTATGTGGGGCACATTTTTCTAAAAAAATTTATTAAAAATCAAATCACATAACACAAATATATTAATATATATATATATATAATATTATTTAAAAATTAATGAATAATGAATAATATATATTCTTTTCGATTTTTAAAGAATTTAATAAAGAAATATCAAACATAATTAAAAAAAAAAGTACGAGTGTAATTTATACTAAATTTTATAATAATAAAAAACATAAATTATTAGTGTCAATTTAGTGATGAAAAATTATAATAATATATAGAAAAATTATAAATTTAAACTTTTATGTCATCTTTATAATTCTGATTAAAAAGAAAAAATTCTATGAAATATATTAAATTACTGAAATTCTTGTGGTGTACCAATAACATGTAATTTTCACCACTTAAATCGTGGCAATTAATTTTGTATGGGGACACTTAATAAACACCTTCAAATTAATCTTCAATTTGAATCAATATATAGATACGAAGTACGTATTTCACTTTATTATTATCTTTTAAAGCTAAGATAATAAAGTGAGTCGTGGACCCCATCTTTAAAAAAGGCTGAAACGTTATAAATAAACCTAATGTTCTTATGTGGCACTCCAAAGATCAATTAACAGTGATGAAATGGTTTAATTAATGGAAGTGAACAAAGTTATTAGGTCTTCCCTTACTTTTACTAAACATATATAAATGCTTTCTAGTCATCATAATTGATTCAGACATAAGCAAAAACAAAAGCTTTTCCAATATGAAACTTGGCTCTTAAGTTTTTAAGCTCTCTCCAAATTGCTTTCTTGTTTCTTCTATTTTTCCCCTCAAAAGAATTCAATGGAAAAAAAGGGTCGAATGAGAAGAACCGAAGAGGAACGTGATTATAGCACTTCAAATTTTAGAAAGAAATTGTTATGACAATGTGATTGGAATGAAAATACTATACCGTGTTTGGATTCAATTAAATTGTGCCAATAAATAATTACTTTTAAGAGTTAATCATCTATATACTACTAGTGTAAAGTTTTTTTGCACTGATTGTGTCATGTTACTGTTAAAAGTAAATGTGTTTATAATGACATGACACAATTAAAAGATATAATAATTGGTTGTCAGTCTAAAGAAATTTTACACTGATAATATATAGATGATTAACTCTACTTTTAATAGCTTTGCATGGAATATGGAAACAATTTTGAGGCTCACGTCACGTGGATTTTCTTAAGCCATTAGTATAAAATTAATGGATTGATGCAAATTTATTTTTCTTTTCTTTTTTTTAATGTGAAAGTCAATGGATACGTGTATATTTAGAAAAGACTTTTAAATACCTCTTCAAATAGGGATTTAAGTAAGTTGGGTTAGGTCGGGTTTAGATAAATCTATTATTCAACCCAATAAAAAATTAATGGGTTGGATTGGATAAAAAATTTGTATAATTTTTTCTTAAAACTCAATTCAATCCAATTTGCTCGTGATAGGATTAACATAATTAAATTTATTTATTTTTTATAAAATTTAAATATTTTAAAATATATGTAAATCATTTGATACATAATTGTAAATACAAGATTATCAATCTATAAAATAATTATACAAATTAAATTTTAAAATAAATTTATTAATTTGTTACATTATTATTAATTCAAAAAACCAACATTTATTAATCAAAATAAAATTCAAAATAAATATATTATATTATTACAATGCTATCAATCTAAAACACAAAACTTGTTACTAAGTTTTTTTGATGAACAAAGGGGCTCAAAGCCCAATTACAAACAACTCAAAGATAAGTTAGCAGATTTGTCTACTTCTAAATAACTAAGAAGGAAATCAGGAAGGGAACTAAAAAGAAAAAAGTCTTCATCTATAGGCCCTTTATATTTAGCTAAGCAATCAGCCACAATATTTACTTCTCTGAAGATATGAGAGATTGAAAT